GAAGCTGATTTGAACCTAAGCTAGCTGAAGTCCCTTATATGGGCAGGTGTTTGGAATACAGTACATGTTTTTTGGACCCAAGATACTTTAACTCTGTACATTTTGGGGATAAACTAGTACTGTGTGTGTGTCTGTGTCATCCAGCCAACTTCAGCTCTGTCAATATACACATGTTGTACATTTTACCTTGAAGCTTAGAACCTCTGGTAATCAGAAAATGACTTAATAATTGATTGAATATAATGATAATTATTTTTGAGTCACAAAAGGAGGTAGATACTTCAGCTTAGGGCCGTTAAATCTAATTTAGGCAATTAATCGGCTTTTGAAAACATCAAATTTGTATTGAAAAACAATCTTTAGATCCATGGACGCTACGCATGGTGCGGTTGTTGTTTTTGCATTTCCCAGAAAGTTTTGCAGTTGACGCTTGGCTGTGATAGGTCGAGAAGCCTCTGCCTACATCCCCCAGAATGCCGCGCGCCTCTGACTCAGCTTTACTTCCTGTGTTTTCGTCCTGTTTTATCTAATGGAGTGACGTTAAACTAACATTCTATCGACCCTGTTTTCTGTTGATATCGAACACGTGTCTATTGAATATCTCTCGTTGTCGTTTTATCGGCCAGCCCTAGTTTTACATTGTATTTAGTTTACGGCAGCCGTAAAGCTTGAGCTGCTGAAAAGTGACGTAAATCGGCTTCATATTTAACAAATCCGATATTATCCGATCCTTACAAAATACCCACATCGGCCCCCGATACCGATACTGAATATCGGATCGGTACATCCCTAACTGTGACCCAGAGTAATGCTGAACATTGTGCAGTAGGAGGTGGTTCTGGTGAATGCAGGACGAGCCTACCCAGGTTCGAGCCCACCATGAGACCTACTTCACGACTCCCACTGATGACTGCTGCCGTTGTGTCCTTGGGCAAGACACTTAACCCCACTTTGCCTGAAGCTCCCACTGAAAGATCTCAGCTCCTGTGGACTCAGCAGCTGCAGGAGGATCAGGGAGGGGCTGGTGCTCTGTGACTGGGTGCAGGTCTGACTGCCACCCCCTGACCCAGAAATGGGTTAAGGGGAAGAAAATGGATGGATGGGTTTAAAAAAAAAAAAAAAAAAAAGGAATTCACAATCCTATGGATTTGAATGGGAGCAGTCAAAATGTGGCTGAGTGGATAGCACTCTCGCCTCTCAGCAAGAAGGTCCTGGGTTCGAATCCCGGTCGGACCAGGTCCTTTCTGAGTGGAGTTTGCATGTTCTCCCCGTGTCTGCGTAGGTTTCCTCCGGGTACTCCGGTTTCCCCTACCACTAAAAATATGTACAATAGGTCTGACATGCGCCTCCTGTTCTGGCCCCGCTCCCATCTCTGTGTGGAGTGAGAGACAAATGCCCATAATTAACAATTGTAAACCGCTTTGAGACGCAGATCTGCAGTGAAAAGGCGGTATATAAATAAAAGATTACTTACTTACTTACTTACTTACTGCTTTAGTAGTTTCAGACTCCTGGGGGCCCTTGTGTTATGTTGATTCACTTCCTGGAACCCGCTGCTTTAGGGCCGAGAGTCAGGTCATGTTGGAGGCACAGTCTGAGTCCAGCCTTAAAGCTCGAGTACCTAACTTTCAAACCATCTCCACAGTTTGATTCATCACTGGTTCTCACGCGTTTGTCTCGGTCACATCTCATTTCACACAGAAAAGTGACAAAGAGAGGACCACCCACTCCCAGCCAATCAGCTCCCAGCCAATCAGCTCTCAGCCAATCAGCTCTCAGCCCAAAGAGTCCAATAGTGACTCACAGGGATCTGCACAAAAGAACATGTTTTCTGATGAGACAGTTCTTTCTGTTGGGACAATGGGAAACAGTGAAAAACCCTTTAAGTTCTGACATATTGACCTATTTAGAATCACACTTGGCCTTTATCTGGTTGTGTGTCTCTGGCTCTTGGTTGTGTATCTCTGGTTCCTGGTTGTGTGTCTCTGGCTCTTGGTTGTGTATCTCTGGCTCTTGGTTGTGTATTTCTGGCTCTTGGTTGTGTATCTCTGGCTCTTGGTTGTGTATCTCTGGCTCTTGGTTGTGTATTTCTGGCTCTTGGTTGTGTATCTCTGGCTCTTGGTTGTGTGTCTCTGGCTCTTGGTTGTGTATCTCTGGCTCTTGGTTGTGTGTCTCTGGTTCCTAGTTGTGTGTCTCTGGCTCTTGGTTGTGTATCTCTGGCTCTTGGTTGTGTGTCTCTGGCTCTTGGTTGTGTATCTCTGGTTCCTGGTTGTGTGTCTCTGGCTCTTGGTTGTGTATCTCTGGCTCTTGGTTGTGTATTTCTGGCTCTTGGTTGTGTATCTCTGGCTCTTGGTTGTGTGTCTCTGGCTCTTGGTTGTGTATCTCTGGCTCTTGGTTGTGTGTCTCTGGTTCCTGGTTGTGTGTCTCTGGCTCTTGGTTGTGTATCTCTGGCTCTTGGTTGTGTATCTCTGGCTCTTGGTTGTGTATCTCTGGCTCTTGGTTGTGTGTCTCTGGTTCCTGGTTGTGTGTCTCTGGTGCCTGGTTGTGTGTCTCTGGCTCTTGGTTGTGTGTCTCTGGCTCTTGGTTGTGTGTCTCTGGTTCCTGGTTGTGTGTCTCTGGCTCCTGGTTGTGTAATTCTGGCTCCTGGTTGTGTGTCTCCGGTTCCTGTTTGTGTGTGTCTGGATCTTGGTTGTGTGTCTCTGGCTCCTGGTTGTGTCTCTCTGGTTTCTGGTTGTGTGTGTCTGGCTCCTGGTTGTGCGTCTGGCTCCTGGTTGTGTATCTCTGGTTCTTGGTTGTGTGTGTCTGGCTCCTGGTTGTGTGTCTCTGGTTCCTGGATGTGTGTCTCTGGCTCCTGGTTGTGTGTCTCCGGCTCCTGGTTGTGCGTCTGGCTCCTGGTTGTGTGTCTCTGGCTCCTGGTTGTGTGTCTCTGGTTCTTGTTTGTGTGTTTCTGGCTCCTGGTTGTGTATTTCTGGCCCTTGGTTGTGTGTCTCTGGTTCCTGGTTGTGTGTCTCTGGTTCCTGGTTGTGTGTCTCTGGCTCCTGGTTGTGTATTTCTGGCCCTTGGTTGTGTGTCTCTGGTTCCTGGTTGTTTGTCTATGGTTCCTGGTTGTGTGTCTCTGGTTCCTGGTTGTGTGTCTCTGGCTCCTGGTTTTGTGTCTCTGGTGCCTGGTTGTGTGTCTCTGGCTCCTGGTTGTGTGTCTCTGGCTCCTGGTTGTTTGTCTATGGTTCCTGGTTGTGTGTCTCTGGTTCCTGGCTGTGTGTCTCTGGTTCCTGGTTGTGTGTGTCTGGCTCCTGGTTGTGCGTCTGGCTCCTGGTTGTGTATCTCTGGTTCTTGGTTGTGTGTGTCTGGCTCCTGGTTGTGTGTCTCTGGCTCCTGGTTGTGTGTCTCTGAATCCTGGTTGTGTGTCTCTGGTTCTTGTTTGTGTGTTTCTGGCTCCTGGTTGTGTGTCTCTGGTTCCTGGTTGTGTGTGTCTGGCTCCTGGTTGTGTGTCTCTGGCTCCTGGTTGTGTGTCTCTGGTTCTTGTTTGTGTGTTTCTGGCTCCTGGTTGTGTGTCTCTGGTTCCTGGTTGTGTGTGTCTGGCTCCTGGTTGTGTGTCTCTGGCTCCTGGTTGTGTAATTCTGGCTCCTGGTTGTGTGTCTCCGGTTCCTGTTTGTGTGTGTCTGGATCTTGGTTGTGTGTCTCTGGCTCCTGGTTGTGTCTCTCTGGTTTCTGGTTGTGTGTGTCTGGCTCCTGGTTGTGCGTCTGGCTCCTGGTTGTGTATCTCTGGTTCTTGGTTGTGTGTGTCTGGCTCCTGGTTGTGTGTCTCTGGTTCCTGGATGTGTGTCTCTGGCTCCTGGTTGTGTGTCTCCGGCTCCTGGTTGTGCGTCTGGCTCCTGGTTGTGTGTCTCTGGCTCCTGGTTGTGTGTCTCTGGTTCTTGTTTGTGTGTTTCTGGCTCCTGGTTGTGTATTTCTGGCCCTTGGTTGTGTGTCTCTGGTTCCTGGTTGTGTGTCTCTGGTTCCTGGTTGTGTGTCTCTGGCTCCTGGTTGTGTATTTCTGGCCCTTGGTTGTGTGTCTCTGGTTCCTGGTTGTTTGTCTATGGTTCCTGGTTGTGTGTCTCTGGTTCCTGGTTGTTTGTCTATGGTTCCTGGTTGTGTGTCTCTGGTTCCTGGTTGTGTGTCTCTGGCTCCTGGTTTTGTGTCTCTGGTGCCTGGTTGTGTGTCTCTGGCTCCTGGTTGTGTGTCTCTGGCTCCTGGTTGTTTGTCTATGGTTCCTGGTTGTGTGTCTCTGGTTCCTGGCTGTGTGTCTCTGGTTCCTGGTTGTGTGTGTCTGGCTCCTGGTTGTGCGTCTGGCTCCTGGTTGTGTATCTCTGGTTCTTGGTTGTGTGTGTCTGGCTCCTGGTTGTGTGTCTCTGGCTCCTGGTTGTGTGTCTCTGAATCCTGGTTGTGTGTCTCTGGTTCTTGTTTGTGTGTTTCTGGCTCCTGGTTGTGTGTCTCTGGTTCCTGGTTGTGTGTGTCTGGCTCCTGGTTGTGTGTCTCTGGCTCCTGGTTGTGTGTCTCTGGTTCTTGTTTGTGTGTTTCTGGCTCCTGGTTGTGTGTCTCTGGTTCCTGGTTGTGTGTCTCTGGCTCCTGGTTGTGTGTCTCTGGTTCTTGTTTGTGTGTTTCTGGCTCCTGGTTGTGTGTCTCTGGTTCTTGTTGTATATTTATTCACAAAACTTACGAACACTAACTGCTTTCTAAGGTTAGTAAAAGGGAACTCCCAGGATGCTGCATTAGCTTAGCATTAGCTTAGCATTAGCTTAGCATTAGCTTAGCATTAGCATACAGGCAGGGCCCCAGAACAATACAGACAAATATATCTCTGGTTCTCGCCTGTACTCTCTCTGGTTCTTCAGTGGGAGACGGGGGGAGGCTGGATGAGGGATTGGGAGGCTGGGGGTGGGGGCTGGTTATAGAGCCGGTCACGGGACCCCACCACCAGCCGGGGGCCACTCACAATCATCTGGGGCAGTAAAGTGCTAAGAATGGCCCTCATTGTGGATCAGCGCCGGCCCCCGGAGCTCCACGGAACACTCAGGCTACCAGCGCTAACACTGGCTGCCTCTTGTTCACAGAGGAGCCATATTTATACACAACAACCACAGACTGTCACGCCGCGCATGCTAACAGGCTACATGCTAACAGGCTACATGCTAACCGGCTACATGCTAACCGGCTACATGCTAACCGGCTACCTGCTGGAGACGCATCAAATCTCTGGTGCTTCTGGCGTGGGTGGATGCTATAGCGGGAAATCTGGTCTCTGGTGTCGTCTGTCAATGACAAATCCAGACATGAGCGATAATTAAAGCTGGGGTACCTGACTTTCAAACCTCTACTTCCTCTCTCTCAGAACAGTTTGCTTCTGTGTCTAGTTTTCACATGCCTCATATTTAGATCAGATTTGAATGAGTGAAAACATGAAAAAAGAGAGGACCGCCCTCTCTCAGCCAATCAGCTCCCAGCCCAAAGGGTCAAATAGTGACTCACAGGGATCTGTCTGACGAGTATTCACAAGATTACATGTTTTGTTATAGTAAAGGGACTCTTTCTGTTTAGGACAAACAACATGTACTGTCTTTGGGAAAAATACTGTCATTTGGAACAATCCCAAAGGTACAAAAAGTATAACATTTTACGGTAACTTTCTTTGTTTTCAAATTGTGTATTGTTGATTCTTTTAGATTTAAAGTTCTTTCCCCGTGTTTTTTTTTCTTTGGCGATAATTGTTCATGGCATAAAAATGTGAAAATTGAATGAGCCCTTTAGTCTCCATGAGTTCCAGCCACTGAAGCATTTTCTATACAGGGACCTGGCTTCTTCCCAACATTTTGTCTGTTTCAGGAAAAAAACCTTTTGAGATTCCAGAAAGTTACAGAGTGTTGCTTTGATAATTCCTGATGCAGTAGCAGTGGTCGCCGTGGTAACAGGGGACCCATCTCCCAATGTTCATGCTCTTTTACAGTGTTAGGGGAAACCGGAGCACCTGGAGGGAACCCACACAGACACACGGGGAGATATGTTGCACACATACACACACGCCCACAACGCACACTCATGCACACACACACACACACACACACACACACACACACACAGAAAACCAACTTTCACACCTACACACAAAAACACACACATGAACACAGACACGCACGCACGCAAACACGTACACACACACGAAAAACTGACACACACAAACCAAACACACACCAAACGCACAAACACACACACGAAACCCTCACACACGATACATACACACATACACAACAAACACACAAACACACACACGACACATACACCCAAATACACACACACACACACATACACAACAAACGCATACAAACGCACATACAACACACACGCATACACAACACACACACATGAAACAAAAACACACGCACATACACAACACACACAAACAGACACACCTTATAACATGTATATTTAGCATCACTGCAGGCCTCTGGGTGTTGTGTGTAATTGTGTGTTGTTTGGGATTGTGTGTCGTGTATGCGTGTGTGTAATTGTGTGTTGTGTGTCTCCTCGTTCACATGTTTGGCTCAGTGTGTGTGGTTGGTTATCTGGTTATTTTTGATGCGTGACCAAAGGATCTCATGCTGCACTTTGTCCCGGAAAGACACTCGCAGTTTCTGAAGTCTCTAAGATCTATGATCATACCTCTCTCTGGTCTCTCTCTCTGGTCTCTCTCTCTCTGGTCTCTCTCTCTCTCTGGTCTCTCTCTCTCTCTCTCTGGTCTCTCTCTCTCTCTCTGGTCTCTCTCTCTCTCTCTGGTCTCTCTCTCTCTGGTCTCTCTCTGTCCTCTCTCCTACTGGTCTCTCTCTGTCCTCTCTCCTACTGGTCTCTCTCTGTCCTCTCTCCTACTGGTCTCTCTATCTGGTCTCTCTCTCTCTGGTCTCTCTCTCTCTGATCTCTCTCTCTCTGATCTCTCTCTCTCTGGTCTCTCTCTCTCTCTCTGGTCTCTCTCTCTCTCTCTCTGGTCTCTCTCTCTCTGGTCTCTCTCTGTCCTCTCTCCTACTGGTCTCTCTCTGTCCTCTCTCCTACTGGTCTCTCTCTCTGGTCTCTCTCTCTCTGATCTCTCTCTGTCCTCTCTCCTACTGGTCTCTCTCTCTGGTTTCTCTCTCTGGTCTCTCTCTCTCTGATCTCTCTCTGTGTCGTCTCTCTCTGCTCTCTCTCGCCTCTCTCTCTGGTCTCTCTCTCTGGCCTCTCTCTGTGGTCTCTTCCTGTCCTCTCTCCTACTGGTCTCTCTCTGTGTCGTCTCTCTCTGCTCTCTCTTGCCTCTCTCTCTGGTCTCTCTCTCTGGCCTCTCTCTGGTCTCTCTCTGTGTCGTCTCTCTCTGCTCTCTCTTGCCTCTCTCTCTGGTCTCTCTCTCTGGCCTCTCTCTGGTCTCTCTCTGTGTCGTCTCTCTCTCTGCTCTCTCTCGCCTCTCTCTCTGGTCTCTCTCTCTGGCCTCTCTCTCTGGCCTCTCTCTGGTCTCTCTCTCTGGTCTCTCTCTGGTCTCTCTCTGGTCAGAGAAAGAAAAGAGAAGGAGTAGAGAAGAAAGGAGAGAGAATAGAGAGAGGAGGGAGTTGAGTGGGGAGAGTCGAGAGGTGAGGAGAGGGGAGGGTCAGAAAGAAGAGAGAGCAGTAGATGGAGGTCTCTCTTGTTTAAATTCTAATCATCTCTGAAAACGAACTTTTATCCATGGCTGTTGTCGTTCCTCTGTCGTCTGGATCCACGACTCCAAATCTAACCGTTATTATTCTGAGGAACAAGTCGTTAGTCTTCTTTTCTCTCGTTTCTCTCGTTTCTCTGGTTTCTCTGGTTTTTCTCGTTTTTCTCGTTTCTCTCCTGTCTCTTCACAAGGGTTTCCGCAGGATTCGGACCCGGTTGGTTCATGGAAGGAGAGGCTTGTTGCAGAACCTTTGTGTAGACGCTGAAATCAGATGACCACACTGTCAGCTGACTGCCAGACTCACAGGGACTGAGGCTGTGGAGGACCAGAGGGAGAGCGGAGGGAGAGCGGAGGGAGAGCGGAGGGAGAGCGGAGGGAGAGCGGAGGGAGAGCGGAGAGAGAGCGGAGGGAGGGAGAGCGGAGGGAGAGCGGAGGGAGAGCGGAGGGAGGGAGAGCGGAGAGAGAGCGGAGGGAGAGCGGAGGGAGGGAGAGCGGAGAGAGAGCGGAGGGAGAGCGGAGGGAGAGCGGAGGGAGACCAGAGGGAGAGCGGAGGGAGGGAGAGCGGAGAGAGAGCGGAGGGAGAGCAGAGGGAGAGCAGAGGGAGAGCGGAGGGAGAGCGGAGGGAGACCCGAGGGAGAGCGGAGAGAGAGCGGAGAGAGAGCGGAGAGAGAGCGGAGAGAGAGCGGAGGGAGAGCGGAGGGAGAGCGGAGGGAGACCAGAGGGAGAGCGGAGAGAGAGCGGAGGGAGAGCGGAGGGAGAGCGGAGGGAGAGCGGAGGGAGACCAGAGGGAGAGCGGAGAGAGAGCGGAGAGAGAGCGGAGAGAGAGCGGAGGGAGAGCGGAGGGAGAGCGGAGGGAGAGCGGAGGGAGAGCGGAGGGAGAGCGGAGGGAGAGCGGCGAGAGAGCAGAGGGAGAGCGGAGGGAGACCGGAGAGAGAGCAGAGGGAGAGCGGAGGGAGACCGGAGAGAGAGCGGAGGGAGAGCGGAGGGAGACCGGAGGGAGAGCGGAGAGAGAGAGCGGAGGGAGCGGAGAGAGAGAGCGGAGGGAGAGCGGAGGGAGAGCGGAGAGAGAGCGGAGGGAGAGCGGAGGGAGAGCGGAGAGAGAGCGGAGAGAGAGCGGAGGGAGAGCGGAGGGAGAGCGGAGAGAGAGCGGAGAGAGAGGGGAGAGAGAGGGGAGAGAGAGGGGAGGGAGAGCGGAGGGAGAGCAGAGGTAGAGCAGGGGGAGAGCGGAGAGAGACCGGAGAGAGAGCGGAGGGAGAGCGAAGAGAGAGCGGAGAGAGAGCGGAGGTAGAGCAGGGGGAGAGCGGAGGGAGAGCGGAGAGAGAGGGGAGAGAGAGCGGAGGGAGAGCGGAGAGAGAGCGGAGGGAGGGAGAGCGGAGGGAGAGCGGAGGGAGAGCGGAGGGAGAGGGATCAGAGGGAGACAAGAGGGAGAGCGGAGAGAGACCAGGGAGAGAGACCAGGGAGAGAGACCAGGGAGAGAGACCAGGGAGAGAGACCAGGGAGAGAGACCAGGGAGAGGGGAGGAGGGATGTCTGTGACTCTATAGTGTCTACAGTGGTCGCACATCTCTGTAGTACCAGGAGCAGAGTTCAACCATCTGTGGCCTCATCAATACTATCGAAGCTAACGGCTACATGTGACCTTCACAGAGAGAGACCAGAGAGAGACCAGAGAGAGACCAGAGAGAGACCAGAGAGAGACCAGAGAGAGACCAGAGAGAGACCAGAGAGAGACCAGAGAGAGACCAGAGAGAGACCAAAGAGGGACCAGAGAGAGACCAGAGAGAGACCAGAGAGAGACCAGAGAGCGAGACCAGAGAGAGACCAGAGAGAGACCAGAGAGAGACCAGAGAGAGACCAGAGAGAGACCAGAGAGAGACCAGAGAGAGACCAGAGAGAGACCAGAGAGAGACCAAAGAGGGACCAGAGAGAGACCAGAGAGAGACCAGAGAGAGACCAGAGAGAGACCAAAGAGGGACCAGAGAGAGACCAGAGAGAGACCAGAGAGAGACCAAAGAGGGACCAGAGAGAGACCAGAGAGAGACCAGAGAGCGAGACCAGAGAGAGACCAGAGAGAGACCAGAGAGAGACCAGAGAGAGACCAGAGAGAGACCAGAGAGAGACCAAAGAGAGACCAGAGAGAGACCAGAGAGAGACCAGAGAGAGACCAGAGAGAGACCAGAGAGAGACCAGAGAGAGACCAAAGAGGGACCAGAGAGAGAGACCAGAGAGAGAGACCAGAGAGAGAGACCAGAGAGAGACCAGAGAGAGAGACCAGAGAGAGAGACCAGAGAGAGAGACCAGAGAGAGAGAGACCAGAGAGCGAGACCAGAGAGAGAGACCAGAGAGAGAGAGACCAGAGAGAGAGAGACCAGAGAGAGAGACCAGAGAGAGAGACCAGAGAGAGAGACCAGAGAGAGAGAGACCAGAGAGCGAGACCAGAGAGAGAGACCAGAGAGAGAGAGACCAGAGAGAGAGAGACCAGAGAGAGAGAGACCAGAGAGAGCAGGTCTTTCAGTACAAACAACAGTATAGTCCTGCTTCTGTCACAGCAGATTTTAGAGATTATTTTTACCGTGGTCCAACCATTACTGAAGGTGTGGCCTTCATCTGGTTCATGATCAATTCAGAAAATACTTAAACATCTGCTGTCCACGTCCACGCCGTCCACGTCCACGCCGTCCACGTCCACGCCGTCCACGTCCACGTCCACGCCGTCCACGTCCACGTCCACGCCGTCCACGTCCACGTCCACGCCGTCCACACCGTCCACGTCCACGCCGTCCACACCGTCCACGTCCACGTCATCCACGTCCACGTCGTCCACGTCCACGCCGTCCACGTCCACGTCCACGCCGTCCACACCGTCCACGTCCACGTCATCCACGTCCACGCCGTCCACGTCCACGTCATCCACGTCCACGCCGTCCACGTCCACGTCATCCACGTCCACGCCGTCCATGTCCACGTCATCCACGTCCACGCCGTCCACGTCCACGTCATCCACGTCCACGCCGTCCATGTCCACGTCATCCACGTCCACGCCGTCCACGTCCACGTCATCCACGTCCACGCCGTTGCCGCTGTATCTCCGCGTTTATGACTTAGTTCCCTTTTATTTTTGGTGCAATGTTTAAGTCCCTAAAATAGAAGCAGCTGGACCTATTTCTGTCTGTGTGTGTGTCTGTGTGTGTGTGTCTGTGTGTGTGTGTCTGTGTGTGTCTATGTGTGTCTGTGTCTGTGTGTGTGTGTGTGTGTGTGTCTGTGTGTGTCTGTGTGTGTGTGTGTGTGTGTGTCTGTGTGTGTCTGTGTGTGTGTGTGCGTGTCTGTCTGTGTGTGTCTGTCTGTGTGTGTCTGTGTGTGTGTGTGTGTGTCTGTCTGTGTGTGTCTGTCTGTGTGTGTCTGTGTGTGTGTATGGCTGTTTCAGCGGCTTCTCTCTGCTCTCACATCCTCCTCTTTCTGGTTTTCTCTCTCTCTTCTCTTCTCTCTTCTCTCCCCTCTCTATCCTCTCCTCTCCTCCCCTCTCTCCCCCCCTTCCTCTCCTCTCTCTCTACTCCTCTCTCTCCCCCTTCCTCTCCTCTCCTTCTCTCTCCTCTCTCTTCTCTCTTCTCTCCCCTCTCCCCTCTCTATCCTCTCCTCTCCTCCCCTCTCTACCCCCCTTCCTCTCCTCTCTCTCTACTCCTCTCTCTCCCCCTTCCTCTCCTCTCCTTCTCTCTCCTCTCCTCTCCTTCTCTCTCCTCTCCTTCTCTCTCCTCTCTCTTCTCTCTTCTCTCCCCTCTCCCCTCTCTATCCTCTCCTCTCCTCCCCTCTCTCCCCCCCTTCCTCTCCTCTCCTTCTCTCTCCTCTCCTCTCCTTCTCTCTCCTCTCCTTCTCTCTCCTCTCTCTTCTCTCTTCTCTCCCCTCTCCCCTCTCTATCCTCTCCTCTCCTCCCCTCTCTCCCCCCCTTCCTCTCCTCTCTCTCTACTCCTCTCTCTCCCTTCCTCTCCTCTCCTCTCTCTCTACTCCTCTCCTTCTCTCTCTCCTCTCCTCTCCCCTCTCTATCCTCTCCTCTCCTCCCCTCTCTCTCCCCCTTCCTCTCCTCCTGCCTCCCCCCTTTAGAGAGCTTATGTAAACTAGCAGGGCAGGCGAGGTCTATTTTTAGCCGGAGCGCTGCAGAAACAGGCGGAGGTCACGTGTTCCGCCGAATCAAAGGGAGTATCCCGGCAATGCGCTGTCAACAAACGGAAGGTCAGTGCAGGAAGGTGAGAGCGCCGCTTACAGGCTCCATGCACCAAAACACACACACACACACACACACACACACAGAGAGAGAGACACACACACACACACAGAGAGAGACACACACACACACACACAGAGACACACACGCAGACACACACACACACACACAGAGAGAGACACACACGCACACACACACACACAGAGAGACACACACACACACACACACACACACACACAGAGAGACACACACACAGAGACACACACACACAGACACACACACACACACACACCCTGAGACACACGCACACACAGAGACAGAGAGAGACACATACACACATACACACACAGCCAGAGACACATGCACACACACACACACACATAGAGAGACACACACGCACGCACACACACACAGACACACACACACACACATAGACACACACACACACACACTCAGACACACACACACAGAGACACACGCACACACACACACACACACACACACACACACACACACAGACAGACACACACGCACACACACACACACACACACAGAGACACACACACACACACACACACACAGAGAGACACACACACAGAGACACACACACAAAGACACACACACACACACCCTGAGACACACGCACACACAGAGACAGAGAGAGACACATACACAGAGACACACACACATACACACACAGCCAGAGACACATGCACACACACACACACACATAGAGAGACACACACGCACGCACACACACACAGACACACACACACACACATAGACACACACACACACACTCAGACACACGCACACAGACACACACACACAAATTCTGACACACACACTTAGACACACTCTGACACACACAAACTCTGACACAGACACACACACACACACATTGACACTCTGACACACACACACACACACACACACACACACTCTGACACACACACACACACATTGACACTCTGACACACACACACACACACACACACACACACTCTGACACACACACACACTCTGACACACACACACACAGACACACAAACAGACAGAGACACGCACACACAAACACGCATACAGACACACACACACAAACAGACAGAGACACGCACACACACACAGACACGCACACACACACTCTGACACACACACACAGACACGCACACACACACTCTGACACACACACAGACATGTGAGGTGTAATGCAGGTGATCAATGGGGGCGGGTGAGTTTATTGGTATGGCACAGTTCATACACAACTGACCCGAACCAAACAACACACAAAGCATTAAAATCATGAATAATCACAGAACATTTAAAAGAGTGAAGATAAAGTCCTTCAGTTGTAGCAGAAACAGGACTGTTTTAACCTGGATCTGAACATAGTCTGAGAAGAAGCCTGTCTCACGTTTTCAGGAAGACTGTTCCAGATTTTAGCATGAATCTGAAATGTGGCCGACCCATGTTTAGTCCTGACTCTGGGACCAGCAGGAGTCCAGTCCCTGTGCTCCTCAGAGTCCCAGCAGGAGGCCAGTCCCTGTGCTCCTCAAAGTCCCAGCAGGAGTCCAGTCCCTGTGCTCCTCAGAGTCCTCAGCAGGAGTCCAGTCCCTGTGCTCCTCAGAGTCCCAGCAGGAGTCCAGTCCCTGTGCTCCTCAGAGTCCTCAGCAGGAGTCCAGTCCCTGTGCTCCTCAGAGTCCCAGCAGGAGGCCAGTCCCTGTGCTCCTCAGAGTCCCAGCAGGAGGCCAGTCCCTGTGCTCCTCAGAGTCCCAGCAGGAGGCCAGTCCCTGTGCTCCTCAGAGTCCCAGCAGGAGTCCAGTCCCTGTGCTCCTCAGAGTCCCAGCAGTAGATGCATCATTATAAAGGGACTAACAGTACCTTAGAGCTCGTGTTTAACTCAGACGGATCAGAATAAAATATTGAGGACTGAGATTTCCAGGTTAGAAGTAAACTCGGTCTAACCCCAACGGAGCCGGGTCTGGGTCTGAGATCATAGAGTCACAACAAACAGACACCATAGAGTCAGAACAAGCAGACGTCATAGAGTCACAACAAACAGACACCATAGAGTCAGAACAAGCAGACGTCATAGAGTCATAACAAGCAGACGTCATAGAGTCACAACAAGCAGACATCATAGAGTCAGAACAAGCAGACGTCATAGAGTCATAACAAGCAGACATAGAGTCATAACAAGCAGACATCATAGAGTCACAACAAGCAGACATCATAGAGTCACAACAAGCAGACGTCATAGAGTCACAACAAGCAGACATCATAGAGTCACAACAAGCAGACATCATAGAGTCATAACAAGCAGACATCATAGAGTCACAACAAGCAGACATCATAGAGTCACAACAAGCAGACGTCATAGAGTCACAACAAGCAGACATCATAGAGTCACAACAAGCAGACATCATAGAGTCATAACAAGCAGACATCATAGAGTCACAACAAGCAGACATCATAGAGTCACAACAAGCAGACGTCATAGAGTCACAACAAGCAGACGTCATAGAGTCACAACAAACAGACGCCATAGAGTCAGAACAAGCAGACGTCATAGAGTCATAACAAGCAGACGTCATAGAGTCACAACAAGCAGACATCATAGAGTCAGAACAAGCAGACGTCATAGAGTCATAACAAGCAGACATCATAGTCACAACAAGCAGACATCATAGAGTCACAACAAGCAGACGTCATAGAGTCACAACAAGCAGACATCATAGAGTCACAACAAGCAGACATCATAGAGTCATAGCAAGCAGACATCATAGAGTCACAACAAGCAGACATCATAGAGTCACAACAAGCAGACGTCATAGAGTCACAACAAGCAGACATCATAGAGTCACAACAAGCAGACATCATAGAGTCATAACAAGCAGACATCATAGAGTCACAACAAGCAGACATCATAGAGTCACAACAAGCAGACATCATAGAGTCACAACAAGCAGACATCATAGAGTCACAACAAGCAGACATCATAGAGTCACAACAAGCAGACGTCATAGAGTCACAACAAGCAGACATCATAGAGTCACAACAAGCAGACATCATAGAGTCATAACAAGCAGACATCATAGAGTCACAACAAGCAGACATCATAGTCACAACAAGCAGACATCATAGAGTCATAACAAGCAGACATAGAGTCATAACAAGCAGACATCATAGAGTCACAACAAGCAGACGTCATAGAGTCACAACAAGCAGACGTCATAGAGTCACAACAAGCAGACATCATAGAGTCACAACAAGCAGACGTCATAGAGTCACAACAAGCAGACGTCATAGAGTCACAACAAGCAGACGTCATAGAGTCACAACAAGCAGACATCATAGAGTCATAACAAGCAGACTTCATAGTCACAACAAGCAGACATCATAGAGTCACAACAAGCAGACGTCATAGAGTCACAACAAGCAGACATCATAGAGTCACAACAAGCAGACATCATAGTCACAGCAAGCAGACATCATAGAGTCACAACAAGCAGACATCATAGAGTCACAACAAGCAGACGTCATAGAGTCACAACAAGCAGACATCATAGAGTCACAACAAGCAGACATCATAGAGTCATAACAAGCAGACATCATAGAGTCACAACAAGCAAGGCAAGGCAAGGCAAGGCAAGGCAAGGCAAGGCAAGGCAAGGCAAGTTTATTTGTATAGCACAATTCATACACAAGGCAACTCAAAGTGCTGAACAAGATAGCATTAAAATCATAAATAATTACAGAACATTAAAACGAAAGATAAAAATATAAAATCCCTCAGTTGTATGCACAGCTAAACAGCACCGTTTTTAACCTGGTTTTAAACATTGTCAGAGAGGAGGCCTGTCT